CTTGGTGATACTGACATACCCCTCTCTCAGTTCACTTCTCTTTCATCTCTTCTATGATAAAAGATGATGCAGGGCACACTGTAAAGAAACTCCTCTTATGCAAGATCAGGGTGGTAACTTAAGTAATGGTGTGGCAACCCAGCTAACTCTTTACAACTAAATGTTTGAACATATCAGACCACAACCTAGTTGTTGACTGTATCACAACACATCTTCCTAATTACATCATTGTCAGATCACTGAGAATCATGTCATGACTTAGGTAAGTTGCCCATATTTTTTGGGGGTTGGGGAGCACCAGTCAGTTCATGGTACTTGAGTCAGAACAAATTTTTTTAAAGTTTTATTATTTTGTGTGTGTGTGTACCATCAAGTTGGATCTGATTTGTACAGGAGGACATGGCCCCTCCTTCTCCAGCAGAGCATCTGGTGGATTTGAACTGTGCACCTCTGGGGTTGCAGTGCAGCAGAATAAATTTTTAAGCATCAGCAGACACAGAACTTGAGAGAGGGCTGGCTCAGATTCACCCACCAAATTTGGGCTGAACTGTGTTAGGAAGTTAACCTAGGATTACCCCAGTGGGAACCTGAAGAACTGTTTCAAACAAACTCCCAAAGAATTAAAGAAGGTTAAGTATTTTTCAAAATGTTAGAAAACATTTTTCCTATAAAAAACAACCTTTAGTCAAAGAACTTCACTCATGAAAAAAGAAAAAATTCCTTTTATAATTCCTATTACTTAATCCTTTGTGATTTTTTTCATTATTATAGCTGACAAGTTTTATGTTTATAATACTTTATCACTTAAAATTAGGAAATTCTGAATGTCTTTGCTATTCAAAGGACTTATTATTCAGATCACTGGATGGCTCATTTGTCATAAAGTGTAATAAATAGTGTCAACTTCCTTTTGATAACTTAGATGCTTTTCTGAAGTAGAGATATTTATGACAGTTTCAAAATAACTGTACACTATGCACTGGCTTTGGACTATTAATCAACTCTTGCATTGACTTATTCTTTCATTTCAATGGAACACCTAACAATCAGTAGAAACAGTCCTACTACTGCTAAGCAGTTTTTTTAAATAAGTAGTGGAAAGGAACCAGGAACAAGAAAGCTACTGATAGGAGTTAAACTCATTCCTGGGGGCTACTTCTGAAGGGAGAATACAACTGTTCATCTTTAGAGCCCTATTGATCATTGTTTTTCATAAGCGAGCTCAGAAAAAGGCAGATTAGATGGCAATGGGCCTTCTGTGATAGGTCTTCTATCAACTGGAATCGGCACAGGGTAGACAAGATGGCAAATGACTATCACCCCCCCTAGACCAGATTCAGACTCTGGAAGATGAGCCCCTTTCACTCTGTTATGACTCCAGAGCTTTTCTCTATGGTAGGGGGTTGATTTGATCTAGTGTAGAGGTGGCTTTTCCACCTTCAAGATTGGTTATATATTATGTGGTAGTTTCAAATGCAAGTCTCCCAAACCATGAAATTGGAATTCTTTGTTTGACTGATTTGGATAGAAATCAATGGTTTTTTGTTGTTTTGTTTTTTGTTTTATTTTTTTATAAAAAGGAAAATACAAGAATAAGGGCATGCTTCAGACAAAGCAGCAGTAAGTTATAGATTACAATATGGAAAGGACTTTCTGGAAGATTTTGGGGGATATATAAAGGCGAGAGGTATTGGGACTGGAAAGGGAAAAAAAATCTAACAGAAAAAGAAATGCCTTTGCTATTTCAAGGAACTACAAATAGCATTCATTTAGTCAGATTGGAATTAGTCGAATTGCATTTGATATTCTGAAAGAGGAAGTGGGGAATATGCCCATGGAAAGTGGTATTTTAAGCTTCAACACATATTGCTCATCAATGATTACTGCCTTGACTTGCAGCATAGCGTTCAACAAAAGTACATAGTGATTTAATCTCGACAGTAATTCCGTCTGCAGCCATATGAGACAAGACTATCATTGCAGACAGGCTGTAATTTGTGAAAATCAGGTGCTGAGGATTAGGACCACCTGTCGGATTTAATCTTGGAGTTAAAATGTTAATACCATCATGTAACAGAATATAAACACTACATATTTATCAGTCTTTGGGACTTCCAACCATGGAGCGGTGAATATTTTCCTAAATGGTATCTTTAACTCTCTCCAGACCCTCTGAATCAATGGAAAGGAAGTCTGTTGGAATCCTCATTCAATATGCACCAACATATGGTATGCTGGTCACGGCGTCCGGTATATCCTTTAAATTTTCTAAGGCATGATATGAGAGTTAAAAAAAAAACAAAAACAAAACCAAAAAAACCCAAACAAAAAAAAAATCCAGAGTATCATACAGCAATACAGTAAGGATAGAAAAGCTTTCCTTTCCTACCTCCCCTCTGAGTTAATTAGAAGAAAAAAGGATTTGCATTAAAAAAAGAAAAATATTTCTGTCTGAATAGACTAGAGAAGGAGCCCAACGAAAACCTAATTAAACAACTTCTGGAGAACGCAAACAATACCTTCAGAAAACATTGAAAATATAGCTCCACTCAATTTCTAGACAATAAATAGTAGGAGAGGGCCACCAGTAGCTTAGTGATCAAAATTGTGTTGTCTTTCATGCAGGAAACCCAGTTTAACTATTTGGTTACTACGGCTCGAGTACAGTCACCACTTGTTTGTCAAGTGCAGGTTTGGATGTTGGTATTATACTGAACAGTATTCATAGAGCTCCTAGGCTAAGATAGAAAAAGCCAGTCATTGAAAACCCTATCGATCACAACTATCCAATTCCACTGTACACAGGGATACTAAGGGTCAGGTGCTAATTTAGAGGTAGCTAACAAGTAGTATTACATTCTGAGCAGAAATTTATATTCAAGCAGGTGGGATAACGGGAATAACGTCTAGAGAGAAGGCATCATTTTTAAAATTTGCTTTCGTTCCTTTGCTTAAATTGGGTAAGTTCTTTTGAAACCTCTTCTGGGAAGGAAATTTTGGTTGTATGTGAAAGATTTTTTTCTGAAATTGTCCTATAATTGTCTAAACAGAACTTTCGGGCCATGTTGAAAATTCTCTGCTCAGAATTTCAAATACTACCGTAATATGTATCATTCATACGTCACTGTGCAGTCTTTGACACTCTTCACTACTAATGATGCCAATTCTGCATATAAAATTTCAACATACCTTCCAAAATAGAACAGAGCTGTTTGTTATTTAAATGAACAAAGTTTTAGAAACATTAAGAAATGAGATGACATATGAATATTAGGGTTTATTTTGTTTAACTAGCAATAATCTTAGATGATTCTGTGCAGAAAAGAATGTATCAGGAATATTTTCCCAAAGACAGATCAAAACTTTGAGCAAATTTTCCCTTTGAAATCCACATCAATTAACAAATATTAAATAGTTATGTCTACCAAACTATAGCAGTGAAATCCAGTGAGTTCAATGTGTTCATCATACATCATTACATGGGAATACCACATCCATCTACAGCCAAAATCAAAGTCTGAACTTTTCTAGAAATCAGTCTTTATTGGTTGCATGCACATGCAGTTACAAAGCACACAAACAATCAACAACTTGAAGAGAAAAGTGAAATTGTAAAATAGATAGCTGTCTCTCTTGGATTTCAGGAGTTTACCAGCTGAAACAAAACCAAAACAATCACTTCAAAGAAATATTTCCACCTTTTCTGTTTTTAAATGGTAAGCTCAACCTTTTTAAAGAAACTTTCTTTTCTTCTTCCAACACAGAGATCTTTCCCAACTCAATACCCTTACCCACACTTTTCACTGTTTCAAACTGGTGTGTATTATGCATTCACACCTATGTATGTGTTTGTCTATGCATCTATGTATCCATCCATCCATCCACAGTTCCTGACAAGCTGTTTTTCACAGACATTCAAAGATAGGCTGCATCCTATTTTAAATTCTTTTGTGTCCACCAACATTTTTCAACATTATGCATTTATATGATGAATGGCAATGTTTTGACTGCCACTTTTTTTTAAAAGTTGACTTTTTCATGCATGTTAAGAACAATCTTTTCACACAACAGGAGCATCCATCAAGCGTTAACTTTTGTTCACAATTGCAGAATTTGTAAGAAAAAAGAAGCATGGTTGTGATATTCTACGAAATCCTCCAGTTTTATACAGCAGGTACCTAATGGAATGCAGTTTAATAAAAACATATTAGCAACTTCCATAAATGAGAAGTACACTTAAATTATAGTCAAATATCTTCCCAAAATAAAAACAAGCAAAACAAACAACATAACTTGATTAGGGTCCTCCCAGGTGCTTATACATTGAAAGCAAAATTTTGTTATTCCAAGTAAAGAAAGCTCAATTTTTAAGAATTCATTTTATTAATTATTAGCCGAGCCATGTAGAAATTTCCCAGAAGGCTGGGAAAAACAGGTTCTCAAGATGAGGTTCAAGCCAATGTTTTGTGCCTCCAGCTTCCAGAGTGCGCCCTGCCAGGCAAAGCACCTTTCCCTAGGGCCAGGGTAATTCAACCCAGAAAGGCAGCAGGAGAGATCAGAGGGAAACCTTGGAGTCTGAGTAGCGTCCAAGACCTGCAGCTCTTCCTCCTCAGGTCTTGAGTCTTAGAAATGCCCTCACAGGTACAAGCACCACCCTCCTAGGTGCGACTTGGGAGCTAAGTGGGAGATTTCAGGAACTGGGCATCCACAGGAGGCTTCATTCTGGTATAAAAGGTGAGATCTAGTCCCTGGGCTAGTCGCTGTTAGGAAATTGTCTTTTAGGATCCACTCACTTTACCCTTATTCTCTGAAAAACTTTGCATTCCTTTGCAAATAAAAATCTATAGCAAGTAGGATTTCCCTCAACCCACCCTTACCCTAACCGAGCGGGTCCACGCCCCCTCCAGCCTGTGAATCACACCAACTCAAGGCGGCTCTGCCTGGGACCCCGGCAAGCTCACGTGTGTGGGATCCTGAGGCTGGGTCTCCGGAATCCTCACCTTGTGGTCAGCCACGCCGAGGTATCCTTCCAGGGGCCGTGGTCCCGCGGGCGCCGCGGGGCGCGGAGGGGGGCTGCTCTCCGCCAAAGGCTGTGCGCTGCCTGTCGCCGCCTGCTGCTGCTGCAAGGGCCGCTCCTTCTGGCCGCCAAGGCTGCTGTACACAAGCAACAAGCTGGTGCACATGGTGGTGAGCGCTAAACACACTGCCAGACCATGGCGCTGCCGGCAGACGGGAGAGAGCAGAAGAGAAGCGTCTGAGCTCGGACCCGGTGCGCTGGGGAAACCATGCCAGGGTCTGACCCTCGGGGAAGGGTGATGGCCTCCCCTGAGGGTGTTGATGGCCCGGAACCCAGCCACCCAAAGCACTATGCAGAAGAGGAGGCGCAGTCCCTGCGCTCTTGGCAGGGCATGCTACAGGCGCGCCGGGCGGGCTGCCTACGCCCAGATCTCTCGGCAGGGGGCAGGTGGTGTGCGGCGCTGGCTGCGGGAGCGAGAGCGCGCCGGGTGGGCGAGGGCAGGGGTCGGCCCGCACTTTGGGAAGGTGGCCCTCTGCTCCAGCTCAGCTGCTATCATCTTTAACCATTGCACCTCCTTTCTTCTCGGAATCTCTGGGTCTCCAGGCGATTCTTGCAAGTTTGTAATCAGACTAGGGAACCAAGAAAGTCTGCAAACCTGTCCCCTTGCCTCCCCTCTTAGTTTCTCCAGGCTGTTTCTTTTGGGTATCCCCAAGTACCCCAAGCAACCTGCTCAGCTGTCCGCCTCTTCTCCAATCTCTGCTGTTCTCTTAGACCTCTGGCCAGAGCTCCGGGAGCCAAGGCAACCGGAGTTCCCCATCCCGGCTCTGGGATTCTAAGCTCAGCTTGAGCTACGGAGTCCAGAGGGGAAGCGGAGCAGGTGGAAAGTTGTCCCTTTGTAACGGGAGACCTCAGGGCGCAGGGTTAGATGCCCCCGGGTTCGCCCCAGTGCCCAGGGCTCCAGTGGCCGGTGGTCCCTACCTCAGCCCAGAGGAGTTACAACTGACTCACCATCAGGGTCTTCATTTTGGGCACCTCTTTTGTGCGGAATCCTCAGGCACGCGCATCTGGGACCACTTTTTCTTGGAGGATTTCCATGGTGGGTGATGGAACTGGGGTGGCTCTGATTGTTGCCCAGTGGCCAGCAGTGGCAGAGCAAGCTTAGGAGGCGCAGGACCCAGGAAGAGCCGCTGTTGCAGAGATTAGAGAGAATTAAAACTGAGCCGGACCCTCATAGTCTCTCAGTGATCTACACAACTGCCGCCTGCCGCCGCCTGCTGGGTCCTAAAGAACTCTACATCCCGCCCCCCTTCCCAGCCCCCAGAGAATATTTTTCAGCCCGTTGGAATTTTCTGGGGCGAGAGAGTTAACCATGTCACATAGTCACCTCGTGGTGTGAGAGCTTATTTGTCTTTCATGAAATTATCAAGTGAAAATGGAAGAGAACCTTATTGAATTCTGAATTTTGATAGCCACTGGAAATTTACAAACTGCGTGCTTGGCTTTGTGATGTTGATAAATATAAGTGAACTGACTAAATGTCAATAGTCTTATTTATAGGTTTTGCATTTACATTCATAACATGTAGAAATCTACCACAGAATTATCACCACAAATGATTCGTTATTTGAATTTTCCAATTGTAATATTTCTAACATGATCTACCTCCTTAATTGTACTTTTAAAAAAACCCCCAAGTCATTCTCATACAATCTTTATATGAAAATATTTCACAGAAATTATCCCATTCATCATTTTGTTTAAACATTGTAATTTCTACTTCTGTTTGTCCTCGGAGGTTCCTAGTGTTCATTAAAGTGATTTTCAAGTTTAAAAAAATCAGCACATTTTATTTGTTTGTTTAACCAGACCTGTAGAGTCCTCCTCTTTTTAGTGAAACATTTCTAATGGCAAAAGTGAAAACTGCTCGCTGTTCATTTCATTAAGAATCTTAAAGCCTTTGTTGCTTCCCTTATATTGGTATGCTGCTGGTACCTAATTTCACATTCAGAAGTCAATGGGAGGGAAAAACCCCACCCATAATTATTGTTTTATGTGAGGAATTTCACATCAATAGCCTGTTTTAAGGATATGCTCTTCCCTTCATTGCATTATAAATGGCCTTTGTTAAATGTCTAATTTAGCTAAAAACATATTTCTTTTGAAATTGCTCAGTGAAAATAGTTCTGTTAATGTATTACTTAACACCTCACCTGTAGCAGTGTAATGGTAAAGATTACATTAGAGTGGAAATGATCAGCAAGCCAACTGAACCATGGGCACAATAACAGCTTTCTCAAGGCCAAAAAAGGCATTACAATCCGTTTTTAATCTTCACTAATCCATTGCTAGATTGATGATACAACAAAAACTATATTTAACTTATGAGGCATCCTACCATGGTCAGTAGTAAGAAAGTAAAAATTATTAAATGCAACTTTCCTAATTTTGCCAGTGCAAAATGTTTAGGGAAAGGCGCGAAAGCAAGGGAGCTGTCTTTCAAGGAAAAGCAGAATATTGGAAACACTGCCCAGCATTGCCAGCCTTGAGCTATTTATTCAATTTGTGCTAAGGCATGAATAGTACAGTTGTTAGGGCAGGCAAAGCAGCAGCCTGAGGAGAATCTTATCTGGTCTTGGCAATTCTTTATTGTATGGTTGCACTTGACACTCAAATTAGTGAAACAAAGGACCAACTTGATGAATCATTGCTAGCAGATTATCTGTGTTTCTCCAGAGCTCCCTTCGAGATAGTACTAGAGACAGCTCTTGCATTTTTTCAGGATTGTTCCCTCTCCATCCAGCAAGTTGCCCAGTGACCGATAAAGCATTTCTAATACATTTTGCCATGCCAAACAGAGGCATCACATTTATGATTTAAGCTCATGGTGCCACATTGGACATCTGTTACATCATATGTCTGACCAAATTCATTAAGTATCTGCTTTCCTCCCCCTCTCCTGGGGTAGCAGTTAGCTAGTTGCTAAATCTACTTATGAAATGGCCAGAGTAAATTTAGAAATGTAATTCTGAGCTTGATTGGAATGATTTCAAAGCCTCTGGTTCTTAAATATTCTACTTGATTGATGTGATGGTTTTAGGCACTTTGCCCTGAGGTCCAAATGGACAAGGTGGGAAGGCAGGGCAGATAACAAGCAGGCAGGAAAACAACAAGGGAAGGAAAACAAATAGAATGTTAAAATCCTGAGTGCCACTTGATCTTTTAATGCAACAATCTGTTAATGATCCTCTGCTGCTGGAAGGTTCTGTAAAAGAGAATGCAGAGAAGAATAAGACATACACCCTGTCCTCTTAACATTCACAACTGTGTGTGTGTGTGTGTGTGTGTGTGTGTGTGTGACGTGCTGATGTAAGTCCACGAATAGCCACTAATAGAATGCTATAGGTGTGACTAGAACATTGGGCTCCAGCATATCAGAGATCTTGAGGATGACCCAGGAGAGGGCAACATTCTGATCTATTGTTCACAGGGTCACAACTCAATGGCACCTCGTAATAACAGCAACTACATTGAACGTAGTCTGAATAACATCTGCTACATTGAAAATCTGAGTCGGACATTGGGGTTTCCTGGGTAGGTAGAGCTTGTGTCTGTCCCAAGTGCGTCCATTCTCTTCCCAGATACATAGTACATAATTTTATGCTAAAAAACAAAACAAAACCAGAAAAGTGTATGTATTAGGAAACAATCAAGTCTTGATTTATCTTACTATTTCTGAAAGATTATTTAAGATCTGAGAGCTTCAGTATTCTAAACGTGTCCATATAAATTGAGTCAGAAAGAGGAGAAAATAGGCAGCATTCACACACACCGGATTGACTTGGAGGTGAGTAGACAAGTCATTGAGCTTTGGTTCATCTAACTTTCCCAGTTCAATACAAAGTAAATTGAGGAACTGCAATCTGCTTTTGAAAACCCAGATAACTGAGATGAATTTCTCACCATTTAAAATGTTGCTACATTTCTGCCGCTGGTGCCATCACATCTAATCAAATAGATTTCTATTTTTGAGGGGGGAAAAAAAGAAAGAAAGGAAAGAGAATGGAGAGTTCCATAATGTACGTTATGTGATAAAATGAAGCTGAGAATTTAGAAACGGTCTGTGGAGTGGGGAGAGGAGAGGGGGAGGTGGCATCTGAAGCCCCCTCAAGAGGGGTTACAGCCTGCATGTGCACTAAAACAGACGTCGATGGGGGGAAGGAGAAACCCTACAGGTTCCACCTGTAAATCAATCCTGAGTGCCTTCTAAATTCAGAAACAGTCATGTCTAAAGATGAGTAAAAACAGATGACAACTCTCATAGACTTCATTTGAGAGATACAGCTCCTTTCCATCTTATGATCTTAAAGAAAAAAATTATGCTAAATGCAACCAAAGAACAGAGTTTAGTGCAAGTCTTCCATTAGGTTCAGACCAGTTCAAACTGGCTCAGTCAAAACCCATGAACCAAAATCAGAACAAACAAAAATTTATAAAATGTAGATGTACAAAAAGGGGAAAAGCATGGGCCCAATACCTGGAGTGGGAGATTCAGGAAAGGCAAAGCGAATGTTTTCAGTATTAGTGCCTGCACTGTGGAGAGTGGCACACATCTCAAGTATAATAAGCAAAGGGCTGCCGTATTTCAATGGAGCATAATGTGTCTCACTCAGTCAAGAGGTTTGCTTACTTCTCAATAGACACGCTATCTTTGTTTTGTAAGAGGGAGATTAAATACTGTAGGGTTTCAATCTGTAATTCTCCCCATTCATGTTAGTGTTATAGTTACTAACTTAGTGACTCGTGTCCTGGGGATGGAACTCACTCACAGCTGACCCTCGAGAAGGTTTTTACAGGCTGTGGTTGCGTAGGAAAAGATTGCTCATCTTTCCCCCTTGGAGCAGCTGGTGGATTCAAACTGCTTGTCTTTGGGTTGGCAACTCAACTTGTTACTCACTAGGTCACCAGAGCTCTGATAGGCATAGGTGTCATTGTTGATATGTGCCGTTAAGTGGCCTGTGACTCATAGTGACCCTGTGCACAATAGCTCTGAATCCTGAATCCTGTCCTATCCTGAGCCAATTTCACTGCCTCTGACATACCTACCCCATTATCCCACTTTCTGTGTCAATCCATCTCATCTAGGGTCTTCCTCTCCTGCGCTGCCCCTTTACTCTTCTGAGCATAATGTCCCTCTCTTAGGACATGTTTGTCCTGGCAACATGACTAAAGTATGTGAGATGAACAATTTGGATCACTCTCTCCAGGACTGACTTGTTTATTCTCTTGACGGTCTGTGGTATGGTCGATACTCTGTTCCAGCACCACAACTCAAAGGCATTGATTTTTCTTTGGTCATCCTTAGTTATTGTCCAATGCTGTAATGCACAACGAGTAATTGCAAACACCATAGCCTCGATCAGGCACACCTTAGTCTCTAGACTGATATTTTTGCTCTTTGGCATTCTGGTAAGGTCCCTGACAGCAGATTTCCTTAATGCAATTCATCTTTTTTGCCTTCTTGTCCCAAAAGTATTGATTGTGGAATTGAGAAAGTTGAAATTGTCAATAACCTCAATCTTCTTTTCATACATTATGGTGCTGTCATTGTCCAGCGGTAAGAATCTTTGTTTTCTTAATATTGAACTGCAATTCATACTGAAGACTGCAGTCCTTGAACCTCTGCAACAAATGCTTCAGGTTCCCCTAAGTTTGGGCAAGCAAGATTGTTGCAAGCAAGATTGTTGTGTCATCAGCATATGCAGGTTTTTGATGAGTCTTCCTCCAATCCTGTTGTTGCATTCCTTCTCATAGAGTCAAACCTCCAGCATAGTCTGCTCCACATATAGATTGAAAAGGTATGGAGACAGGACACATCCCTGCTGCATTCCTTTCCTAATTTTGAACCATGCAGTATTTCCTTACTCTTTTCTGATGACTGATTCCTGATTCAAGTATAGATTTCAGATGAGCACAATCAAGTGTTTTGGGATTCCCATTCTTCTCAAGGATAGCCACAATTTTAC